GCTGAAAAATTATCATTTACCGGATTTTTATATCTTTCCGGACTTTATGTTTCATCACTGAGTTCGACAGTTGGCACATTACTTGGAACTCCACGTGTTATTCAGAGTATCGCTTCTGAGGGTATTATACCACTTCTGAATCCGTTAGCAATTGGTGTATGTCATAAGTTAAAATTATTATTGTAAATTATATTTAGCTGTTAAATTATATTTCTTTTTAAATTAAACACAACAATCTTTAATGTTATTAATTGTAAGATAGCTTTAGTTTTTCCACAGTCATAAGTATATGATAAATTTCTCTCTCTCTCCCTTCTTTAGTTTATAATTTTAAAACTTTTTAATTATAGCGATTATCTCACCTTTTTTCCTTATTTCTAATAATAATGATTACACTGCATGCTATTAATTCAATTCAATACAAAATATTTATTGTAATTAAATTTTATATTCAAATTATTTATTTCTTTTTTTCTTGCAATTGAAATTGCTATTTTCAGCAAGGCGCTAATAAAAGCCCATTACGCGCAAGTCTTGCAATGATGCTTATAGCAATTATTTTTGTATTATTTGATGATTTAAATCAATTAGCAATTCTTTCAACGATGCCATTTTTAATAACTTATGCTTTTGTTAATTATTCCTATGTTTCATTGGCGATGAGTTATGATCTTCAAAATGTAAACAAATTGAAGTAATGATTTCACCAAAATTTTTATTTTTTACTTCATTTTATTAAATTTTCTATTTTCTTATTATTTCGAAGTATGAATACAATCTATCTATTTAAATATATGAAAAATGATGAGAATTTTATAATTTTGCATCCATTTCATTTTTATTAGTGCTACTACAAAATATGGCAGTATGGGACATTTAAAAGATGCAACAGTAGATGATGGAGATGATTCTGGTGATTTGAAAAAATTATTTCCGGAAAACATTTCAAGTGATTTACCAAGTACTGATAGTATGTATATATTATTGCATAAATTAATGATAATAACTTTGTGAAAAGTATTAACCTTAAATATTTGGTATAATTCTTTTATTAATTCAAATATACTGATGAAAAATATTTAGCTTAGATTAATTTAGGTAATGATTAGTATCAATTATGAGTAATGATAATATGTTGATAATAATATGCTTATTATTTTAAGTGAAATGTTTTAGATGAGGAGGGAAGTTCCAGTTTCAGAATTGGTGATCAAGCACATACATGGTATTCAGTTTTCAGCAATCGTTACATATCATTTATTGGGGTATGTAATTTTTTTTTTTTTTCAACACCATTTTCACTATTGATTAAGCAATTCATTCTTTTATTGCTATTGCTGTTACTGTGTTCTGCTATTGTTGTTGTTGTTGTTGCTGTATTTCTGCTATTGTTGTTGTTGCTGCTGCTGTATTTCTGCTATTGTTGTTGTTGTTGCTGTGTTTCTGCCATTGTTGTTGTTGCTGTGTTTCTGCTATTGTTGTTGTTGTTGCTGTGTTTCTGCTATTGTTGTTGTTGTTGCTGTGTTTCTGCTATTGTTGTCGTTGTTGTTATTGTGTGCTGCTACTGTTGTTGTTGTTGTTGTTTGTTTGTTGCTTTTTGTCTTCTTTTATTATTCGCTGTTTGTTCCTTACTGTTGTTTATTTTCGTGAAAGGCTGTTTTTGTTTATTTGTTGTTGTTTGTTAGTGTTGTCATTGTTTTTTATTTGTTATTGTTGTTGTTGCTGCTATTCATTCCATAATTAATGCTTATTTCAGGCTATTACAAACATTCTTATAATATTATTTATAAATTTTTGGTATGCACTGCTACATTTATTAGCATTAGCTACTTTATATTATTATATTGGACGAGTATGTCCATCTGTTTCACCTGGTATGTTTGTCCTTTTTTAATTTTCCTTTTCAATCCTTTGCCATATATCTCTTTTCTATCAATATAAATTATTATCAAAATTTTATAAGTGTCTAATTGAATGCTTTTTTGTTGTTTAATTGCAATAGCAGAAAACACAATATTCCTGAAAAAAAAAAAAAAAACCATTGTGAAAGATAGAGAGATTATGCTTAAACTTATTAAGAAGCTGTGTAAAAGATGGGCGAAAGATGAAACGGCCAATGAAGAAATGGGCGGAAGCCAAGATTCAAAATATTAATTCTCTAAGTCGAGAGTGACTTAGGAGATAACAGTAACATCTTGAATAATCAAATGGCTAATGAAGAGACTACTTGGAAGTCACAGATTCAGGATATTAATTCTCTAAGTCAAGATTGATTCAGGAAATGAGAAAAACATTCTGAATAATTAAGCAATCTCATTTAGGCTGACTGCTTCAAAAGGAAAAAGACCTTAGAAAAGATAGCCTAGCTTAAAGCTCATTTCTATCTTTCACTCAGTTGGCTATTGATGTAATTGGATAAAAAAAAACAAAACAAAACAAAGACTCTTTATTTCCCGCCCATGTTGAAATATCAAAACTATAAAAGCTTAATAAAGCGAATAATGGATATTTTGAGGATTGTTTTCTAGTCGAATTGTCCATGAACCGTCATAAGTTAACGTTGAAATTAGTGCTGTTAATGAGAAATGTCATTAACTTGAAGAATATGATACTGCTGGCTGTACATTTTACTGACTGGACAATATCAAAATTATTAATCATTGCAAAAAAAGATAAACTTAAATCAATTTGCGCTGCGCACATCTAAATGCTATCACCAAATGTCATCATTGCGATCTAAAATTCTTTCAGCATCTTTTGATTAGTTATTATCCTAAACATCTTTTAATGCTATTGCTCATGAACATAATTATGATCTTATCATTTACAATATTATGTCATTTTATTATTTCATTCATTTATTTGATAACAATAAAAAGTGCAGTGCAATAGGCAGTGATAGCGATAAAATTAATCAATGCAATTATATATCATGACATTATCAATATGTAATTTTTATTTTTAGGTATCAGTCAATTTACACTTCCACATATGTTCAAAACTGCATTTTCAAGCATTGGAAGTATTAATAAGCCATCTTTTGCACAAATAATTGCTACGGAAAATATTTCCAGTAATCCGGAAGTTGAAACTACTATTACAGCTTTAAATGAGGAAAATCCCGACTATTCAAGCCGGAAGCGTTATCACTACACCGAACAAACAGAAACAGCTATGAGTGATTTACATTGAATATTAAATCATTTTGTGAAACAATTCATGCTTCTAAGTAAATTAAATAAACTTTTTCTTTTTTTTTTAGAAAAGCATTGTTTATCGTTGTCATTTGAGAATTATTACAAGCAAATAGATGACACGATAAGTAAGAAAAGGTGTAAATTTTTAGAAATCATTTTTGTGAATTTCTTTGATAAATCGATCTATATTCAGGCAAGTTGTCATTAAAAAATAAAACTTTTAAAATAATTAATTTCCTGATCCTATATGTATTTCAAATTTCAGTCTTTTGTCATTTATTTTTGAATTATTAGTTTAGCAAGCAAAAAACGAAGAGAAATTTAATTGAACAAATCTTTATTCTTTATAATTATCCCAAAAAGAAATTTCTCTCTCTCCGTGCTTCGGAGAGAGAGAAATTCGTATTTTCATTCTAATAAAAACACTTAAATTTTCATATGAAATATCATTTTTCATTCATTGTTATTACAGTTTCACTTAAAAGCAAAAGAAAAAATATTTCTTTATCTAAATTTCGAAATTTAAATGAACTACTTTTTTTAGATCATTTTATTGGCTTCTTTTTTAATCTTTTCTTTCTTTAACATTCTCTTTCAATACATTTCTACAAAAAAAACATGTGCATTTTTTGTTTTCTGTTTTTCTTTATTGCTACAGAATCTGTGAAATTTTCCCATCGTTTTTTTCTTTTCTTTGATAACAAATAAGATGTAAATTAGCATTTCTTAAAATTAAAAAAAAATAAAGTTTGCAAGGAAGCGATAATTATAATTAAAATAAATTTACAAAATAGTACTTTTTTCTGAATCACTGAAAAAAAGATCTAAAATTTCATAAAAAAAGAAACGAACAAAAAAATAAAATAAAATGAAAACAATCACAATAAGAAATACATAATTTGAAGAGGAATATAGAATGAAACAAATTAAAAGAAAATATTAACTTTTTTATTTAATTATTTTTGGCAAATTACAATTCTATAAAAGATAATATATAGTAATTAATTTGCTGAGAATTAAATGTTAATTTATGTTAAATATATATTAAATATTAATTTGACACTTTTTAAAATTCACATATGTCAGATAATTTCACAGCAATCATTTGAAAGAGTTATATTTTAAAATTAGTAAGTGCTGATGATAGCTCGATAACATACTAAGAAAAGTTTCAGATATTGATTCTTATACGGATTTAAATTCTGATTGTAAACTATCGACTGATCATCCAATAAATGGATGAAATATCGATTGATTTTCTTTTCTGTGAATGAATAATTTACAGAAAATGATTGATAAACGTAAAAATTTTATAACTTAGGAAAAGAAAAATGAAAGAAAAGGCACGAATGATTTTAAGATGGAAATTTAAGCGATAAGCAAATTTGTTTACAAATCATAAAAATGGTGCAAAATTTTCTCGAACTATGCAATCAATGGAAGTTGTTGTATATTTCATTAATCATCATTTTATATTACTGATACTATCCATTTGATCTTTATTTTTACATGAATTTTTACTTTCAGTTTTTTAAAAGACTATTTTGTCGGTATTTTTGCTTAAGAAAAGGACAAAAAATATTTCACTAAATTTCTAAATCTTTTCTTTTAAATTTTTGAATGATTCCGATTAATTAGCAATATAGCTAATAAGTTATAATATTATCTTTCATTGATAATATCGATTAATTAGAAAATGACTGGATTAACTATTGTTATTGTTATTTTCCACTTCTCTTCTTTAAATTTAGGTAGTCTTTCGTTTTTTTTACTTGTAACAAAAATAAGTTTTATTTCAGCCTCATGTGTGCACCAAATTACTTCCCATATCCAAGTGGTGGAATTATTTGTGGCTTAACAATGTAAGTCATTGTATATCATGATTTAAATCACTATCATAGCCGTAATAATGATTACAGTTCTGATCAGTATTAGTGCAACTTGTATCATCGTTGTGAATTTCTTGCTATCAGTTATAAATCGTGATTATTTTTAACTTTGCAGTTTAATTTAATTAATTAAATTGCTATTAGCAGAAACCCCGAAATTTTATGAAATTGTCAATTTCACACAATGTAATATATAAATGAAATTATCAGTTTGTTGACAATCAACTGATAACTGCCATAAAAACATAAAAGCTTTTTCCTTCATCCGAAAATTTCTGTCCAAGATTATATAATTTCATAATTCAATTTCCTATGAATTTTTTTCTTTATCCCAAAATTCAATTTTTGAAAGTTCCAATATTAGATGATTTGCTCACTATTATTTTATCATTTATATTAATATTATATGCTCAAAACTTTATTATCACCTAATTTCAACAGTTTTTCACTTTTTTCCAGGAAATTTCATTTATAATGTTAACTTTCAAGATTTTTTTAACGATTTTTCACTTTATGTATCTTTTTTTAAATTAAAATGATTTAATAAGACTCTTAAACTTCGTTTTATTTATATTTCAGATGTCCTGATGAATCAATTTTTCATTATTATTATTGTTGCTACGGGTTATTAGGCGCTTGTTGCTTTTATCTAAGAACGTGGCTTATGTAAGTTTTTTTTCTTTTTCCTTTCTAATTAAAATTCATTGATTTTTTCAAAAGATAGTTTTAATGAATTACTTATAAATGCAATTTTTGAAAAATAATTAATTCCAAAAGCAGCGTGGAATGCTACAGTAATGCATAAGTTGTACAGATTGCATGCATAATTTGTTGCATTATGCCATGCATGCTGCATGCATGACATGTATCATTTTGCACTGAATGAATAATAGTATATGACTAGCATTTATCCTTAACAATCTGAATGTTTTGCTTGTATGCAGTAATGTTGAATTTTATCATCAGTACAGCTAACGGAAAATTAATTTTATTTGGAATAGAAATAAAATAATGAAATGGAATTTGGTTACAAAAAAGTTGACTAGAATTTCTCGTAAATTTAAGAAACATAAAAATGAAGTGATTTTAATCAATTAAATATATATTTTTGGAGAAAATAGTGCAAAAATATGAAACATTTGGAAATATAATCACATCGATTCATTTATTTAAGTTTAATAAATTGATTGATTAATCGACTAATCGATTAAAAGTTATTAATTACATTATAATTTATGGAATACTATTTCGATATTTAAGTAATTTTGGAAAAAAGGATGGACTAATTGCTAATTTTTTAGAATTTTATTAATGGTAATCAGTCTTTCATTGATTCTTTGTGCCGTTGCGGCTGCTATTGCGGCTTTTTCAAGAAGCCGTCAACAGCGCATACCAACAAACGTTGACGCTACCACTAATGCTGGTTATGATATTCATTATCATCCACCACGTGAACATACCGTATATTATACGGATCATAGCAGGGATCGAAGTCTTTAAATTTAATTTTACAATTTCCATCTATCTTTGTTATTATAATCAATTGTTTGAATTGATAATACACATTACTTTATTAATTACTTGTTTAATCCTATTTTCTTACATTTATAAACGCTGAATTATTTTTTTAATTTTTTAAATGCACTTTACATTAATTTTTGATCCATCTCCTCCTCCAAAAAAAAAAAAAAAAAAAAAAAAAGAAAAAAAAAATCAGTTAAATGATCGGATTTAATTTGGATTTAGAGAAGATAAACTCAAGAAAAATTTGTACTTTACTATTTTCAATTGAAACATTTCTTTACCTATAATATTTAAAATATGAAGTTTTCAAAATTCTTTCGAAGTAATTTTTTTGAAGTAGTAAATTTTTCTTCTAGGAATTGCAAATTTAAATGTTAAATATCTTCATATTCATAACTTGAAATTAGATCCCATTACAGAATAATACTAGCAAGGGTTATAGTATCTTTTAGAAAAAGTATAGTACTTCCTTTTCTAAGCAATTTTTTTTTATTAACAGCTAGAGAATTCATAGCACTATTTTTAACTAAAGCATTCAATATTTAAATATGAAAATTTTAAAACTGTTTTGAAGCAATGAACTCTTTTTTTAACAATTGTAAATTTAGAGATTAATATGATAGATTGTTCGATTAAACGAAAACCTATTGTTCAGTGTTTTGTCGTTAAATTTAACAATGAGAAAAAAAAGAAATAAAATTTTATTAGCAACTAATAACATATAATACTAACCGATAGTAACCAAAAAAAAAGGAAAGGAAGGAAAATGCTTGGTCAATTAATTCGGAATTTTAGATTTAATGAAATACTACTAAAACTATAATTAGGGCAGCAGAAAAAAAATTGCTAAATAATGAGGATAATGCTCTAAAAATTAACGAAAAATAAAAATGAAAAAAAAAAAAAAGGAAGAATAAGAAAAGAAAAAAATTTGAAAAGAACAATGCTAAAAAGAAACATTTAAAAGAGAGACATATAATTTGAAATTGCAGAAAAAAAGTGCAACTGAAAATTCAAATTCGGGTTTGAATTATAATTTCTCACTTTTTTTCTTTTTGATTATTATCATAATTTTTTTCATAAAACAACCTTCTTTTTTTGTAGTAAAGAAAAAAGGAAAATATAATGATGAGAAAAATTTTTTTTTTTGCTTAAATTTGTTTTTTCATTTTTCGATCTTTTTCTATCAATTCGATTGCTCGCCGTTAGCATTCGTTTGACCAACCATATGCACAACGATTACTGTCTTTTTCTTCTTCTCTGAAAATGTTTTCAAATTTTTAAAATTCTATGAAAAATTCTTGTAAAATTAATCCAAACAACACATAAGCATGAATGACAGATTGATGATAGTACGATTTATTTCAAAAAAAATTTTCAAGCTTTTAATTTATTATGTTACTGGATTAAGCTGGAAATTTAAAAATTTTAATTATGGACACATGAAAGAAAGGCAAAACTAAATCAACTATTTTTTTGACTTGTAAATAAAAGTCAAGAACACTTTTTTTTTTAAATATTATTTTACAACTACTGACTACCATTGCTGCTATTACTGGAATTTAATAATAATAAATATTATTAATGATATTAATAACAATGATAATATCGATAATAATGGATAATAACTTATAAAAATAGCAATAAATAGTAATATTTATAATAAGAACGATAATAGTGATAACAGTAACGATAAACCATTCTTAAATAAATTTTAAATCGTTAGCAAATGCATCGATTAATTAATTTGCAATTTTTATCAAAATATTTCCTGAAATTTTTCTCATTGCTTCAATATTTTGAATCAAATATTCCTTTTCAGTTCTCCTCAAAACAATTAACTTTCTGTTAGGAAAACGAAAATATTGATAAATCTTCTCAATTATATTTAAAAATTTTTAATTACATCAAATAAATCGTACAATCATCGCTCCGAATTAGATTCCTTATTTAGAACAAATACAATTATACGAATAAATAAATTACAGTTATCTCATTAAAGGGAAATCAGTGGTTGCAAAAATTACTTCCACCAGTGCAAAACACAAATGCATGCTAATTACTGCTATTATCATTATTACTATTACGGCTTGCATCGTTGCTGCTATTATTATTATCATTGTTATATTATTATTACTATCATTATTACTATCACTATTATTATTACTATTACTACTATTATCCATTATTTATTATTATTACTGTTATTGTTATTATTATTAATACTATTATTTATTACTATTATAATGATTGTTATTATTATTACTGAAAAATTTATAGTCTTTCATGCAAGAAATAAAGATGTGGGATGTTAATCAATCAATTAGTGTTATGAGAATTTAAAGAAATAAAGAGAATTTCAAAAACGAAATACTAAATCATTATCTAGAATTTATACAAAGATGCATTAAACTCATATATAAAAAATTTATATAAAGCAATGAAAAATATTTAAACCTTTGCTGCTAATTTTTTTATACAGTTTACTTTTTCTGATTTTTAAATAAGAAATTTGTGAAAATTTCAAAACTGAGAATGAGAAAGAAAATATTAATTATTTCATTGATTTGAAAAAAAAATGTATCAAACCGGAAAATCTATTTTTGGAAAAAAAAAACTTTCAAAAAGAAAGTAAAAAAGAAACAGAAGAATTTTTAAATTTAAGACAAATTTTAGAAAAAAATATTTTTTTTATATTTTTTTGTTTTTCAAAATAGATGCATAAAATAATTTGTTGCAAAGATAAAGGAGGATAAAATGAAATTAGAAACATCAAACAGATTACATTTGAAAATTTCATTAAAAAAAAATGTATCAAAATAAATGATACACCTGCAGTAAAAAAACTGCAGTAAGAAAATTCTCGAAATTAATTATAATTATTTAATGACGAATAAGTAAGCAAATTAAATCATTATGATCAATAATTATGTAATAATAATGATTTGTTTGATTTATAATATAATTTATTTCAATTATTGTTACTGCTGCTTACTGCTTAATGGCTGAGTAAAATAACCAACAGTAAACAATAAATATTAAAATGATATTAGCGAATGCTTAGCAGATATTATTGTTTTTGTTTTAATATTTATCAATGATAATATGTTTATCAGATATTTTTAAATATGATAATAAATATGCTAATTAATTCCTAAATAATTTTTGCAAGGTTTTTTGTAATTGAAAAAGAGCTTTTTTTTCAAAAAATTCTACTGATAAAAAAAGAATGATTAATATATACAAATATATAGGATAAAAGGATTTTTTGACTATAAAATAAAACATAAAAGTAAAATTATAACAAAAATTTTTCTAATATTGCTGTATAAATATTACTGAAAGTTTTTTTGTTTTTATTAAAATAGAATGCAAAAAATTTCTCAATTCAAAATTTTTTACCTAATTGCTAATACAAATATTATTAAAGATTAGGAAGAAATGAAAAAAAAAGAAAAAAGTAGAAAGAATTATAATTTAAGTGAAACAAATAAGCGAAAAAAAAAGTTGAAATAATTAAATTAAAATTGAAGGATTTCTGCAAATTCCAGAAAAACATTAATTAGGACTGAAAATAACGTTTAATAAAAATGACGCACAAAATATTTACATTTATTGCTCTGATAAATTACCCAAATTGTTTATTAGCTTTATAAATGCATTATAAGTGATAATTAGTAAATGGCATATAAATTTATTACCTTTATTAGTAAAAAAAATTAAAATTTTTATAAAAATTAATACTAATAAAATATTTCTGTGAATGTTTAATATTATTATAAATAATATTGTATTATTAAAATTTCATGCCTTTTTTGACAAAACAAATAAACAGAATGCATATTGCTTTTTTCTTTTCTTAATTTTAATTGAAAATAAGAAGTTTTGAATTAAAAATTGATTACACTTCTATTTCTTTATTTTTATTTTAAAAGCAAAAAAAGGCATGTAACCTCATAAATTTTTATAAAGAATTTTTAAATTTTAAAATGAATTATTCTCCGTTTACTTAAAATAAGATTTTGGAAGTAAAATTCAAATGTAACAAACATCTGAAATACATTTCCCGTATGTTTACCAACAAAACACTTAAGTACTTTTAATGGAATAATAGAAAATAATAATAATTGACAGTAATACTAGTAGTAATAATAATAATGATAATAAACAGTGATAATTATAATAAATAGTAATTAATCATAACTAATGAAATTTAATAATTACTGGTAATAATAATTAATTAACAAATTAACCATCCAGAAAAAGCCAATGACAAAATGCTAGGTTGAAAGAATTTATGGCTTATTATCATAAATATAATGCTGATAACGATAACAAACGGCAGATTAAATAAATAGCCGAGTGATAATGACAAATGCGCATTTTAGCAGCAGGACAAGGAAAAAAGAAGCGCAAAAAAGTAAATATAGCAAAAATTATGTATGCAACCGTTTTCTATTATCTTAATTAGCATTTTTTGCATTAATTTTTGTCAAACTGAATTCAAATTAATAAAAAAAGAAAAAGAAAAAAAAAAAGAAAAGAAGGTAACTGGTATGAAGGTGGAAAAATAAATTTCCATTATCACAATTTTAAAAAAAAATTAAACTGAAATAAAAGAATAATGATAATCAATATTTGTCATCTTATTATTACTATACTTGTTTATCAGTTTGTTGTTGGGGAGCATCATGAACCTGCTGCTGTTGCTCAAATGTCGCACCCTGGTCAACTTCACTCAACGTAAATGTACCACCTTCACCATCCATCTGTTTCATACTCTTACCGGAATCATTTCCTCCCCCCTCACTGTCCTTTGCTGTATGAGCGGAGATCATATCACCATCACTTCGTTCGCTATGATATGAGCTGCTTCCGGTAGTTAATGTTATTGCAGTACCGGAAGTACGATTTCCGCTACCGTATGCATAAGCATTTTCATGTCGATCTGTAAAATTTATTAATTAGCTCAAAAATATACTAATACTCCAATTTATGCTATTGAAGTCTATAATGTATTATATGAATTATTGTTATTATCATTATTCATTATTATTATCATTTATTATCTTTCATTTGTTGTCATTTATTAATATTATTATCACTATTATCAGTATTATTATTGTTGTTATGACTATTATTATTGCTATTATTACTATTTATTATTCATTCGTTATGATCGATATACTAAAAATTCATCAGTTCCTCTACTTTTTGTTTTTTTACTCACTTATTTTTCATTAAATAATAATTTATTCAATTAATTTTGATAATAATTAAAATTTTGATCAATTTTTATCTGAAAAAAGTGCAATGAAAAAAAAAGAAAAGAACCAATCAAGCAAACAAGACCGGAATGTTTTAAGACAATTTTTGAATCATCCGGAATATTTGCATCAAAACTGGATGAGTGAGCAGTAAATGACGGTGTACCAAAGTATGTACTATATGAATTTATTGTTCGACTAAAAATAAAATTTATTGATAATCTGATTAATAGTATGTGATTAATAGTGAAAGAAAAACTGTGCTGCAATTGATGTTTGTGTTCTTTCTTTCCTTTCATCAATTTTTTAATTAACTAGTTTTTCTTTTTAACTTATTAAATTAAAATGACAATGAATGAATAACTAATTATTTGGCAACAAAATAACTAATTACTTAAATAATTAACTTACTCATACAAATCATATCCTTCTGTTGTTCCCGAAAAGCTTACATTCAATCGATTGATTTCACCGCTTATTATTTTTTCACTAATTTCACGACGTCGACGACGTTCACTTGTCAACTGATCACGCATAATGTTTAGTTGATTTTCTAGCTGATTAATTCGACTCTTCAGTGAACGTTCACGATTTTCAATTATTCGTTCAATCTAATATTTATAAAATAAAATTGAAAAAGTAAAAAAGAAAAAATAAATAAATAAACATACAAAAAGTTAATCTACAAAAAATAAAAAAGATTGTTTCAATAAACTTTTGTTTGTTTGTTTGCTTTTTTTTTTTTTTTTTTTTTTTTTGGTTAATTATGTATTAGCTAATAATTTGGGAATGTGATAAGTGGATAAATAATAAAATAAAGTTAATTTTAAAAGGAACAAGCAAAAAAAAAAGAAAAGATAAAAGTAATATGAATTATTTCAGTTCTTCTTCAGGGAAAAAATTTAGAAGGAAAAAAAAGATGCTATTGATAATGATGAAAGTTAAGTTAAAATAGGTTCATTGCAACCTGTAATTTCTCAGTTCTCATATTTTGTACAAATTTGTCGTGTTCTTCACGTTGCTTATTTGTAAGTAGCACCAGACGATTGCCATTTTCTAATTCAAGTTGCGCAATTTGTTGTTGTAATTGTGCGCAATTACGATGTAATTCCTTTAAAAAAAAAAAAAAAAAAAGAAAGAAAGAAAGGAATGAATGAATGAATGAAAAAAGGAAATGGAAAAAAATTAGCCCTAAAATTTGAATTAAAATTGCAAATAGTTTTTCTTTTTTTTTCAGATTCATTTATTTATAATTATGCAATATTGATTGTATTGATTTTTTCGCTTCGTTTTGTTTTGTTTTGTTTTTTCTTGTTTATTTCTTTCTTTTTTTCTTTTTTTTCAAATAATACTTATCATTATTTCATGAAATTTTTTTAACTATTTACTGAAAATGTTTGAAACTTCTTTTAAATTTTTATAATTTTAATACGTTTAGTTATATGAAATTTTCATGAAATAATTTAATTTAATCTCAAAAAAATAATTTTGAGGAAAAAAGAAAAATAAAAGGAAAAAGAGAATAAATTAGAAACTTTATTTTCTCGTTCCAATGCACTCAATGAATTTTCAATTGCTTCACGTTGTAATGATACTTCATGAAGGATATTTTCCGCTGCTCGTTTCTCCTCATCAAGCTATAAATCATTTAAATAATAAATTTCAATTTCATTACAAAAAAAAAAATTCATTGCACTTCAATATATTTTGCATTGTTTGTATTTTATGATTTCAAAAATAAATGAATAAAAATAAGAAAAAAAAAGCGAAAAGTCAACTAACAATTTCAACACGTTTAATTAATGACTGATAATTTTTCTCTAATTCATCATATTTGTCGCTAATCAATTTCTTTTCTGATTCAATTCGTGGTAAACGTCGTTTAACATCACGTAAGTCATTTTCTAACGTATTACGTTCATCTAATGCTTGTGATAATTGCTGTCGAATTCGATTTTCAGTTATTCGCTGCTGTGATATTGACTACAATAAAAAAAAAGTTATTCATTCGATTAATGTAAATAAAAATTACCAACTATTTTAATCACAATGTTCAAACATTAAAATTTGATAGTTAAATGTAGAAAAAATAAATTAATTAAATTAAATTAAGAATAAAATTTTAACATTTTCTAAGCTATTTAATTGCTTTTCAAGACGTTTATTGTCATTTTTAGCATCAGTTAAATGTCGTTGAAGATCCATTATGTGACTTCCGTTATCAGTAAAGCGTTGTTTCATATCTCGTAATTCGGATCGCACTATCAGTAGCTCATTCTCAAGTTGCTGCCGTCGATTATTTGCATTTGATAAATCATTTTGAGCATTTTCAAGCTGTAAAAATAAAATTAAAAAAAAAAAAGACTAACAAAATTTTATGCTAAAAAATTTTTCTCATCCAAAATTTACCAAATTCACATAATTTAGAATTTATAAAAATGTACGTCAAATTCAGATAAGATCTATCAAATCTATGTAATTCAGGATCTGTGAATTTGGAATTATGGAAATTAATATCATCAATAAATTTGATAATACAAATAAGATAAAAAAATTTTTAAACATTTTTGTTTTTAACACAAAACCGAAAAGTTGAATCTATTTGTACTTCTCAAATTTATTTGTTTAAAACAAAATTAAATAACTTGTAACTTTCCTCTTATTTAGAAAAAATAAACTTTTTCCATTTTTTAGCTTTTTTTCTTCCTTTTTTTTTTTTAAAAAAAACGAAAAAAAATAAGCAAAAGAAAAGAATTGAGCAAATAGAAAATCTATTTTTAAAAAAAAGAATTAAACATTTCAGTAAAATAATCGAAAATTACTTGATCTTTTAAAATTTGATTATCACTGTTAACACGTGAATGTTGATCGATAGTTCGTCGAAGTTCTGTTTCATTTGTCGTTGCTCTAATTAAATCTTTTTTCAAACGATCATTATCATCTTTCATATCATTGTTTACACTTTCGATAAGCTGAAGCCGACTGCTCAAATCGCGTACTTTTTCATTGAGAGACTGTAAAATTTGAAATAAAATTTAATAGCATAATTAATATTAATATTTCAAAGTTTCAAATAACTTTTTTTCTATAATATCTATAAAAGGAGTTACCTGCACCTTTCTCTTTAGGTAACATTACTAACTGATAATTTAAATAATGTAAAAAATTTTAAAAATCAACATAAGCTGTATAGTCTTAAACTAAAAAAAGAAAAAAGTAGGGAATATTATTGTCAAAAGTGCTAAAAAAAACTTTTGCGTTTACATTAAAAATAAAATATAAATTAAAGTTGAAATAAGTCATGCAAAATTGAAATTTATTAGAATTTAAATAAATACAAGCCATACAAATGTTTCATAATTATTTTATTCTAAATAGAAAAAAAAAATTATTCTAAATAGAAAAACAAAAGAAATTGATTGATAATATTTGAATTATTTAATTACTATCGATAAATATCTTAATGAATTGGAATAATTAAATAGAATAACCAATTTATAAATTAATCGATAATTTTTTGTTTCTGTTTTTTTAATATAAACAATCGACCATTTCTTAATTCCTCAACCATTCATCTGATTTCTCCTTTTTTTTTTAAATTAATAAGTTTGTTAAATTAAGGAATGAAACAAAAATAAATTAAATAAAAAAAAATTATTTTTTAAATAATATTATTTAACGAAGATTTTACAGAAAATTTAAAAAGCAAAACCAAAAATTAAAAACAAACATTTCGTTCGCTTTCAAAATTTGCTAATAATAAGCGAATTTGTTGTGATTCATTTTCCTCATCTTTTAATTTACTTTCCAGATGAAACTTATGCATATACCAGCGTTCTTCATGATCACGAAGCACTTCTAAATCACTTTGTGCTGTTTCTAAATCTTTACGTAATGTTCGAACAAGGTCCTAAAATTTTATTCTTTTTTTTTTTTTGGAAAATGAAAGAAAACATTTAGAACTTGAAATATTTGCTTAATTAATTTCAAAATTATTCTTCTCTCTTTTCATTTCTTTTATATGCTTTGAAAAAATAAAAAAATAGGAAAAATTTTTACAAATTTTTCTTTTCTTACACATTCGTTGCCTTCTTTTTTGATTAAAAATGAAATTAAATAAAGTAAAATGAACAGAAAAAATAAATAAATAAACAAATAAATAACTAGTGCAAATAAAATCCAAAGTAAATAAATAAAGAAAGGAAAATAAAATAAAATAAATTAGCACTCATACATTCAACTGACGTAATTGCGCTTCTTTTCCACGTGCTTCCATTTCAAATTTTGCTATTTTTAATTTCATATGACGTCTTTCTTCATCACGTTGTTTAAGAGCTTCCTCTTGTGAGCGAAGAAGTTGCTTAGCTGATGTTAAACGCATTTCCAACGTACGTCTCTCTAAAAAATAAAATAAATCATTGCATATTTTGCTATGATTAAGAATTGTAAAAAATATCTAATTTAAGAGAGAGAGAGAGAAAGAAAAGGAGAGGTAGCAAGAGAATGAGAAAGCATGAAAAACATGGAGAAAGTAATAGAGTAAGATAAAATAGAATTAATTAAATTGAATAATCTAAATAAATTTAAGTTAGTAATGCAATTTTATTCTAATACTTCAAAACAACTTAATATTAAAATCTATTTAAGAGAAAATAATTCGTTAAGTTAAACTTTTCATTTTATGATTTATCATTAATTAATTAAGATTATAGTATTTCACATGCATTTAAATCAGTTTACCTTCTTCAACATCAACTAATTGATCTTCGATATTTCGAAATATTGTTTCTTGTTTACTAATTTTAACTGTTGAATCGACACCCTTCTTTTTAATTCGATCAAGAGCTTCACGATATTCATTCTGAAATTAATTGTACAATATTAAATAATTCTTGATTAGTAATATCACTTCCATACGTTAAGCTAAATAATGATAATTTCAATTACTTGAAGTGAAAATGAATTTTATTTTTTTTTTGTATAAAAACTTTCATTTGAGATTTGATAAATTTCCAAAAAAAAAAATTTTGCGCAGTAGAATCCTAAAAAAATTAATTAAATTTTTAAATATACTAAATCAAACAGTTAAAACGTTTGAAAGGAATTGAAATTTTGAAAGTTACCCGTTCTAATTCAAGTTTTTCAATACGTCCAATTAACTTTTGTATATTTCCGTCAAGTTCGTTAACATCAAATTTTCCTTTACTTTTTTCTAAAAAAAAATATATATATATATATAGATAGATAGATAGATAGATAATTTAAATTTAATTCAATAAAGTTGAAAATTTTATTTGGTTATAGAAATTTTAAACTCCATCCACCTTTTTTTTTGTTCGTTCTTTTGAAAATTAAAATTGTATAATTAATTATATTAAAATCATTTGCATACGATATAAATAAATATATTCGAAATGAATGAATCGGAACAAAATGTAAATTTGAATTAATTAATTAATTAATCTAAGACACATAAAATTGTTAAGATATATTTATATAGTTTACCAACCATCAGATGATTTATGTGTTTCTTGTACTGTTTCTCTCCTTTCTCCAACAGATTCACCCTTTAATTTTTATTTCAATATTAATAATTTTGAAAACAATTTTTTTCTCCAACTTAATCAATTAAAAAAAGGGAAGAGAAAGGTTAAATTTTAAAATTTAAGTTAAATTACATCAATTAAAAATCGATTGATAACAAGGGTACGATCGATTATTGAATGCAGACGACGTAAGGCGTCATGTAACGCGTCACGTTCATTTTCCACGCCCACGTAGTTTTGTTGTAATGTTATCAAATATTGTTCTGCGTTATCAAATCGTGACTGAAAAGAAAAAAAACATATTTATTTCAATGTTTTTTTCAAAAGAAAAAAGAGAGAAAAAGTAATACTAGCATAAAAAAAAATTATTGCAAATGAATTAAACTTTTTTTACTTAAATTAAATTTTTACTTTTCTAAAATAAGAAATAAAAAATAGAAAAAAAGCAAGAATATTAATAAAAAATTATAGATAATAAATAACTACTAGTTAACAAGAAATTATAGATAAATGATAAAATTTTGTAATTTATTTATTATATTTTTTGCACAAAATTTTTACTAAATTTTTTTTCTAATAGTACAAAAGATTTTAGATTTATAAAAAATAATTTCTCAATTAACTCTCTACTGCTCAGCATTTTAACTAATATTATAATTTAACTATAATTATTAATTATCGATATCTACTGCTGTGTTTATTAATTATATATTAATTATAACTGTATTTATTAATTATAAAGAATAATTTAGGAAAGAAATGACTGTAAATTACATGATTTTAATTATAAATCTTAATATCATTAACTGATTAAGGCTAACCTGCCTAACAAATTCAATAACTAAATAAGCAAATTAATTTACAAAATTCAATTAATTTATTTAAAAGCATATGTAAGCTTTTTTTTAGCATTGAATTTTTGTTTGTTTTTTTTTGTAATTTAATCACTTTTATTTTCATTTTCCTTCTTAATTCTTTACCACTTTTATTCATCTTTTACTTTTTTAAAATTATAATCATAGTTACAATTATCACTAATACTTACTTGTAAATCATTTATTTCATATTTACGAGCTTCTAATTCTTGTATAGCATTAACACGTCCATCTTCAGCGGTACGATGAGCGTTTATAAGATCATTCAATGCTAACTGATATTCATCCGTTTTACGAATAAATTGTTCACGTAAAAATTGCACTTCACGTTGCAATTTTTCAATTTCACTTCGAAGTATATTACGATCACTTTCAATAGCTAATAGCTTCAAATTGATTATCATGTAATATTTATTTATTGATACATTTATTGTTTAAAATTATGCGTTAAATTTTATAAATTAATTGAAATAATGCCGTAAATATATGCCAAATTAAAATGCTTTTGCAAAATATTTAATTTTTTACTTTCAAAATTATAAAATTTAAAAATTTTGCTGAAATAATTTTAAATAATACTGTGAATGTTTAAAAACCAATTTCTAATTAAATAATAGATTTTAATTTATTCAAATTTAATAAAATGAATATTTTATTAATGTACCATACCTTATCAGTTGTATCATGAAGCTCACCACGTGTTTGATTCAATTGTGATTCTAAATTTTGAATTGTTTCTGTCTGATTTTCAACTTGTTTCACTTTTTCGCGATATAAATTTTCAAGACGTTTATGCTGAAAAACTGATTATAAAAGAAAAAAAAAAATAATAACAAACTGATATTGCAAATTTTATCAAATTAATTGACTAAAAAGTAATCGTAGTCTTTATAGTTTACAAAAAAAAAAGAAAATTTTTAGTTGAAATTTGATAATTATAATTCTAAAAAAAAGGATTTGAAATTTGCAAAACTAATTTTCTTGTTTCAAAAAAATTAGTTTTTTATTCAATTTATTAAAAAAATTGGTATCAAATAATAATGACAAAACATTAAATTTACATTTAAAGAAAAGATAGAGAAGAAAGTAAACAAGTGATAGGAAAAAAATTGATATGATATAAATATATGAAATTATTTTATAAAATATGAATTAAATTTACCTCAGGACGGAGTGTCTCAACAATATCAGCGTATTTTTGAGCATCTTGAAGCTTCTGCTTTAGATATTCAATTTCAGTTTTACATTTCTCTTCAGTAATCTAGAAAAAAATTATGTGGTAACAAAAAAACAACAAAAAAAAGAAAACAAAAAACAGCAAAAAATTTTTTCTATAAATATTTCTTTAAAAATTGTAAATAAAAATTTCTTTTCTTTTCTGTTTTTCATTATTTACTTTCTTTTAATCAATTAAATTAACAAACCTTCAGTTTTTTCCTTTTTTTAAACAAAAATATATTTTTTTCGCATATTTAATTATTTATATTTAATTAAAAGACTTTCATTCAATTAAAAAATAAAAACAAAAACAAAATATTTGTCGTAAATTTAATGATAAACAAACAATAAATACCTTAAAATTATGATTTTCAGCAAGTAATAAATTCATTTCGCTTTTTATTTTATTAAATTTCATTTGAAGCGAATTATATTCTTCCTCAGCTGAATAAATCTGTCCCTGAGCAGCGCTTAAATCTGATTGCAAATTTGCCACATTTTCTTTGGCATCATTAATTTCACCTTCCAAACGATGAATTTCATTTGTTGCTGTAACAGATTTTAATTTTAAAAATTTCTCTCCTTTTTTCAACATAATTTTAATATCTAATTTTAATAAAATATTGGATGGAAAAAACTGTTTACACATACTTTAATGTCTGTTAAAAGCTCTAATAAATGACTAAAAAAATATATTTATTTCATACAAAAATAAAATTTTTCTTTCAACTTTTTCTCTCTTTTTTTTTTGAATAAATATTTAATAAGTATTAAATATATTCTAAGGAAAAGTAAATAATTACTTTGGCTATAATTGATATATTGACTTTTTGAATTAGAAAAACTTAAGATGCTACTATGATAATAATAATATCAGATTAGCTTAGCGTTTATCACCAATTTCGATAGCATTACCAAAATAAATAATTTTACTTTTTTTTCGGGCTTTTTTCCTACAAAAAAAGAAAATGAAAATGAAAAAAGGCTTGCAATTATGAATTTTATTCTTTTGATCGCTGATAATTTTATCCAATGAATTGATCTTATCATCTGCAGACGCAAGTAGTGATTTCATTTCCGTATTGTTTACATTAAGCCACTTATTCTCATCGCGTGTTGCTTGCAAATCATTCTTGTAATGACTAATTTCCTAAAAAGTCAAAATTTCAAATTAAAACTTCAAACATTTATGCAATATTTTAAAATCTCTTTTTTTGTTAAATTTAATGGCACACAGATGAGAAGTAAACAAGGCAATATAATTATAATTGATTTAAATTTTAATTATAAGTTTAAAACCAATAAATGAATACTTTTTCAGCATCACGTCGTACAGTTGATAATTCATCACGTAAACGATCTAATTCCATATTCAATGTATCAAATTTTTCCTTCCAATCATTATTTTCACGTTCCAACATACTATCATGACTTTTTAAATTAGTCATTTCACGTTCAGTATCACTTAGTTTAACACGTAACTCATCTATTAGAGCATTCATCGAATCAATCATCTGAAAAAAATCAAACATTCATTAACTTTCAAAAATTCACTTCTTTTTTTTTTTGTTTTGATAAATTGCTTTTTGCCTTTTATCCAAAAAGACAAAAAATGATATAATAAAAAGAATAATTGAAAATTCTTTTTTGACTAAGAAAGGAAATAAATATTTGATTAATCAAAGTAACATAAATGGAATAAATTATTTTGATTAAATTAAAATTTTATTTCCAATAAGTGATGTAAATTTACATCTAATCTTCAGTGATATACTCAAATAGATGTGTAATTAAATTTTAATTTATATCTAATAAAAAATTCAATAACAACAACCTAACTTTTAATTGCTTTTAAAAGAAATAACATTTGAAATGAAAAAAAAAAAAAATAAGATAAAAAAAATCAATTAATCTTTTATTTCCACTTATGTTTACTTAAAAAAAATTACTCACATATTATGTTTGTTTACAGAGATTGTTGACTTATTTACTTATTTCATTACATATTTTAATATTTTTAACCTTTTGATGTTTATCTTTTTCGTGATCCAAATCAATATGATATCGTTCTTGTGCTGTTGTTATTTCTTTTCGTACTTTTTCATTTTCAATTTGTAATTTTTGTTTTAACTGATTAATCTCAGCACTCAATCGATCATTATCTTGATCTTTTCCATTAATTTCATCGTGTAAATCAATAATACGTTTTTCCAAATCATCCTAAAATAATTCAATTCTTTAGTAATAATACAATTTATCAATTAATAATTTAATTTAATTAAAATAAAAAACAAAAAAAAAGTGTTTCTCCTGGTAGCGCATTAAAGCTTTTTTCGACTTCAGATTTTATCACTTAAAAAGCCAATTAAAATTATTTAATTTTGACTAAAAAATTAAGAAACTAACTTTATCACTTTCAAGTTTCTCCAATTCAGCTTTGTATTTGTTAATTTCGTAGATTTCTGTTTCATGTTTTATGATAATTTTTTCACTTTTACTCTCTGAAAGCATTAAAAATTTGCTACATATAATTAAAATTGTAATATAAATTAAAATTTTTAGATGCAATAAATTAAAATTTAACATTGATAGTGTTAGATTTAAAAATTTTATATGATTCAAAATAAGTAAAAAAATTTTAAAACTTATAACAAAAATTAATGTAATAATTAGTCACTATATAAATGGTAAGAAACTATAGAAATATTAAAATTAATTAAAATAAACATTAATTAGGGATAGTAATTTTTCTTTTAATGCTTATAATATTGCTAATTATTCTTCATCTGTTTTATTTTCTTCTTTTCCTCAAATTTCATCGGATGCTAGAAAAATTGGACGAAAAAAATTTCAAATTCTACTAAAAATTATTGATAATTAGAAGAAACTCATCTAAATTACTTCAAATATTTTTCTATTTCTTATTTTTTAAGTAATAAAGTTATTTTACCGTGTGATTTTACTGTTTCACGATCATCTAAATTTGTTCGAATACTTTCATCTAATTTCACCTTGAAATTTGCATCCGTTTTAGCTAAACGATCTGGAAGAAAAAAAAAAATATAACAAGAAATTATTTATTTAATCAAAATTGATTAAATAATTGCTTTTAGTTGTTATACTAGCAAAAAAAAAAATTATACCCAAATTAAAAAATTATTTTAATTAATCACCAATTAATAATTTTCATCCGTTCTCTTCAAAATATTAGTAATATTAATAATGGTAAGTTAATATTTTTTTTTAAAAAAAAAAGAATAATCCTATATCTTATAAATTTGAAGATGAAAATACTAATTTATTGCTAATATCAAATATTATTAAAATTTAAATATCAAAAAAATTTAACCAAATATTTAATATAAATAACTAAGCTTATTAATTGTTTTCTATCTATATTTTTCCCTTTTTTTCCTCTTTTTAAATCATCTATACATTATCTATACTTATAATAAAAAGACGTACAACATGAAATTATCATTTTAGTTAATTATTTTAGAACTAATAAATTGAAATTATCATTTTAGCTTTGTAATTTATCTTAGAAATAAATAATAAGTAACTTTAAACAAATAAGAAAGAAAGGAAAGATAGAAATAAATCTTTTTTACTAATTGAATAACAAAGAAAAACTGAAATTACCATTTAAAGTGACAATTTCAGTACGAGCTTCTTCAAGTTCTTTTGTTAGCAAATGATTACGATTTGTTTCTTGTTTCAAATTATCACGTGCTTTACGTTCATTATCTTCTAATTCATGATTATCTTTTCTGATATGTTCCATTTCTTGCTCCAATTTACGTATTCGTTCATGAAGTAAATTAACTTCCGTATCACCTTTTTGTTTTGCACTGTAATATTTTTCATCTTTACAAAATATGTGAATTTTATTCATCGAATGAAGAAAAGAAAAGTATAAACCGTATTTGACGTATATAATAATAGTGTGTGTAATAAACAATCATTTAACGTATGATAATTTGACGTATATTGTAAATAATTATTTGATATATAATAAATAATCATTTAACGTTTATAATGATCATTTTACGTGTAATCACTTCACGTGCTGTACACAATAAGCAAACATTTAATGCCCTATATAATAAGTAATTATTTAATCATTTAGTATATGTAATAAATAATCGTTTAAACATTGATAATAAATAAAAGTTGTATACAATAATAAAATAATAAACATACCCGCTAAGATCATTCTTATCTTGCTGTAAACGATTATTCATTTCTGATAATTTCTCAATTTCTTTCCTTGCAGCAATCAAAGAATTCTCTGTGCTACTCAATTTTGCTTGATTTGTTTTCAATTGCGTATCAAAATTATCATTTTGACGACGAATGGTTGTCACCTCAGTAATATATTCATTGATTTGTTTCTTGAAATTATTGATTTCATTCAAATGACCTTAAAATGAAATTAAAAATTTTAACTCAAACATTTTCTTTATAAATATTTTCAAATGTACAAAAAGAAAACCAAGGTTGTAATTTCCCCAGAAAATGATTAAATAAATTTAATTATGAAAATATTAATAGTTTCATTTTTTAAGTCATTTAAAAAAATAAAACAATTCTTCACTCTCTTTTGACTAATTCTTTCAATTAGTAGTAATTTAGCATCAAAATTCTAGTTAAAATAAACAATACTAAAAGATTGAAAATAAGTGAGCAAAATTTCAAAAAGCCAAAAAATGAATTAGCAATTAATCGTTATTGTTTTCAATAAATTATGTATTTTTTAATAATTAAGTTTTTTGAAAGAGAAATTAAATTAGTTAAGACTGCCTATTTTTAGAACTTGATTTTATCCATTTCAAATAAGCAAGTAAATAATTTAAGTGAAAATAATCAATAAATGAATTTCCCCTTTATCAATATTAATATAATATAATATCTTACATTGCTGTTTTTTTCTTTGAAATTATTGGTATTATTTTGTATTAAATTAAACATTTTCAATTTAAAAAGTATACTAACTCATTTAATAACTATTTAATTTTCTTCCAGTCATTTCTTTCAACAGATATTTTTTAACAAATTTCAATGTTAATATGCTTATATATAAGTATTCAATTTACATATTACTAGCATTACTCACTCATTTTTTCTTTTCTTCTCTCTTCAGTTTCTCTACTAAAATACATCCTTTATTAATTTTACAATATTATATATATATATATAATATTAACTGACAAAAATTTGAACTAATAATAATAATAATTAAGGAATGGAATTAAAGTAATCAAAAAAACAAACAAACAAACGTTGATTAAGTTTTTCAGCATCATCACGCGTTTTTGCTTCAACATTTAGCTTATTTTCTAAATCATTAAGCGCTTTGGTCAATGTTTTCTTTTCTTTTCTGTAAATCATTTGGAATTAAAAATATTTTTTAGTTCTGTTGTCAATTTAATAATTAAAAAATTTTAATGGTATATATGCATATATTAATTAATCAGTCTAATTAATGTATAAATAATCAAAATCATATATTGAAATTACAAATTTTCATTATCTCCCTTATATCTAAGAAAATAGGAAAATTTTGTTAATTTTAGATTATTAATGTCAAATATATTCTTTTAAACTTTTAAATTTAAATTTAGAAAATTTGATTTCAAGCTCATTTCTTCCTTTATGAAAAAAAGAAACTTACATAATTCCACTACGTTCCTCTTTCATTTCTTTTATTTGCAATTCAATAGTTGTTGTATTCTTTCTAGCATTTTCATATTTTATATGCAAATCACTCAATTCATTGCTCATTGCTTCTAGTTGTGCGCTCTTATCGTTTAATTCATTTTCAAGGATTTTTCTTGCAGATTCAAAAGTCGAATCTGTAAAAATAAAACAAAATCATTGTAATTTTTAAAGAAACAAAGAACAAAAAAAAAACCTTCAAAAAATTTTTCGAAATATTCTATAAAAAAATTGAACAAAAATAAGTTCAAAAATAATTAATGATGGTAAATAATAATAGCAAATAATAATAAAATTTAAGAATTTTATAGATTATAAATCGCTAATTTTTAGTTCTAAGTTAGATACCGAATCAGATAATATAAAAATTTAGATTAGAAAAAAAAAAGAAAACAATTAAGAATTTTTTCTTTTATTATCTGATATGATTATTTCATTTACCTTTTGAATTTAACTCATCGACAATATTATTGTATTCTTTATCAATTTTCTGAATTCGTTTATTCATTTCGTCTGCTTCACTTTTCAATTTTTTATTATCCTCTTGAAGTGTTGCTATACGTGCAGTAAGTTCGTGTGTGCTAATAAATTAATTAATTTTAAACAGCACAAAAAAACATGCAAAATCTTTAAATTCATTAAACTTTAATTTAATGTTATTATTAATTAATTCAAACATATCAAAATTTTAAAAATTATGATATATGACACTCCATCTTCTACTCGTTCTTCTCAGTTCAAAATGTCAATTATTCTTTTGTTTTTTGTTTTTTTTTTAAATTACGTCATTTTAATTCTAATTACGAATACAATTAATTAAAAATATTTTAACTTCGCTTTCTTTTCCTCTTTCTTGTTCTCAAATTACATTCTCAAACGATTTTTGTTTCTAATTTATGCCATTTTAGTTGCAATTATGAATACATTTAATTATGAATATTTTAACTTCGCTTCCTCTTTTTTCTCAAATTACATAGCTAATGAAATTTCTTTTTCTTTTTTAAAAAAAAAGGAAGAATACGATATTTTAGTTTCATCTTCAATTTTACGAATACGCTCTTCGGCATTGTCATTAGCTTTTCGCTCAACATCTGCCAAGGTAGTCTTGAAATGTCTGAAAGAGAAATAAAAAAAATTGGCTAATAATTTTTTTTTACAAAATGCTTTGCAAAAAGAAAAAAAATAATAATTTACTATTTACTCCATTTAGGTATTTTCTTTAAAAAAAAGTGAGGAATAGAAAAAAGAAAAAATTACTTACTCTTGCATCTTTTGAATTTCATCTTCAAGAAAACGTCGTCTACTCTCAATGGATGATTTCTCTTGTTCAGTATTTTTCAAATAATCTTCCAAATTTTTCATTGTATGTTTTGTATCATCTAATTCCTTTTGCCTATATTAAAAAAAATTAAATATAACAAATTATATTTAATTTTTTTCTGTATGAATGTATGTATTTTTTAACTCAAAAAAAGGGAATTCTTTTTAGTATTATTAAATTTACATCATTAATAGCAATAATAAAGAAATAACAAAAATGATAAAGAAAAACTGAAAATATTGAAAATGATAATTCTTCAAGTTTTTGTATTTTTTATTTATTTATTTTCTTTCTTTTTTTGCGTGTTTTACCTATTTATCAATGTTCGATTTAATTCAGCGATTTGCTTTTCCAAACGACGACGAATTTCTTCAAGTGAATCATATTTGCTTGTGAGCTCGTTTATCTAAATTATTATAAAAAAAAAAAAATATAAAAAAAAAAAAATCTTAAAACTATTCAAGAAAAAAATAGCCTAAAACTAGCATATTCTTAAATTATCTTTAAAATTACATTTTTAAATTTTTATAATAATATTTGCAAATTTTTGTTATAAATATTTTTTGCAAGATTTTTCTTCTTTATTTTTAAATTATCATTTGTAAACTTTTCCCTTTTCTTATTTCCTTATTTTGCTTTGAAAATTGAAAAAAAAAAAATCATACCTGAGCATCAGCATTTTTTAATTTACGTTGTAACACGTTACTATCATTGATACGGCTGTTTAATACGTAACGAACGCTACGTAAAACTTCAGGTGGTGGAACATAACTTTTTGCTGTAAAAAAACCAAAAAAATATGGTGAAGAATTTTTCATCTTTTCATTTTTAAAGAAAAAAAAGTTAAAAAACAGGAAAAAAGATGAAATGAATGAAAACAAATAATGTTAAAACTAAATAATCGTTTTTATAATTTAGTAAACATAAAAAAATTTAAATTAAAAAAGTAATAAATAAACCTGGTGATGAAGCTCTTGCTTTTGTTTCAGCATTGATTTCATATTCATGCGTCATATCATATAATTTACGAAGAGCATTCTATAAAATGAAATACAGGTAAGCAAATTAATTCACTTACGTAGAACACGTAAGTATAACAAACATTTTTTTTATTTATATAAAAAATATTAAATAATTATTGACATGTGGTAAGTTCTTGACGTTTATCACTCTATCTCTCTCTCTCTCTCTCTCTTGTCCTTTTTTCCTTTTCTGAGTTTTATTCTCAAATAAAAAAAAATTCCAATATTAAATGTTTATGTTTTTCAATATATAAATTAATAGATGATCCTTTTTTATGTTTAATTAAATTAAATTTGACAACTTATTTATAATAAATAAAAAGTTATTTTCATATATTTTTGTTGCTTTAAAATTAATTATTCGATTAAATCCAAATATATTTGTATAAGAATTTATTAAATTATTGTTATGTAATATATTATTTACCAATTGATTTTTATCACAGTTAATTAAGATTTAAGGCCAATGTGAAACAAAATTTTTAGACACATAAAATAATAAATTGTACAGAAATTGTTGATAAGAATATATTTTATTAGTTATAATTAATAATGCTAATTTGTATTAATTGATTACTATCATTAAAGAGATTTCTTCTTTTCTTTAAAATTATCAAACTAATTTTGTTTTCATTTAATTATCAAATAGATCTATTCATAAACTTAATTAGTCCAATATTTAATTCATTCACTTAACTTTTTTACTACTTTTTATTAATTAATCATGTGATAATTGAAATGAATATTAGCAAATATTATCACATTAATAAATAACTATTCAAAGAGTTTGGTATAAAAAAATCATATTCTAAAAAAGAATTGAAGTTTTTCTCTAAAAATTAAAGGCTAAAAATCTAGAATAATGACATATTTTAAACCAAATCGATTCATTGAAGTGGTCAAAATATTATTTTACTAATTTTTCTAAAAAAGGAAAAAATAAAGAAAAATTTTACCATCGTTTTTTATTTAAATAACACTTGAAAAATATTTTTCTTGAAAATTTAGAAATTTTATATTCTTCTCTTGTAAATTTAAAAAAAAAAAATTACGTTTCATAAATTAGAAAAATAATAATTCATGTTTTACAACAACAAAAACAATAAAAACCTGGCTTTCAGCAAGACGATCACGTGTACGTTTCAAATCACTTTCTAAAGCAATTAATTTATTATGATTTTCATCATCACGACTTTCTAATTCGATGATTCGCTTCGCACTTTCCTCATATCTACAAATTAATAAGTTATCCGCAAAGTAAAGAGAAAGAAACAGATTCAATTTGAATTATTTTTTAATTTTTTTCTAAAGAAAGAAAAATTCTATTCAAATTTTAATGATTTACTTTTTATTGTTATTAAGCAAAATTCTTGTTTTATCATTAAAATGTAAATTAATGCGGTTGAGAATAACTATAAATTAATTATAACTACATATGTATATATATATATATATGTTAATTTACTTATGTTTACTGATTTTAAAGAAATTCAATTATTTATTCCAAATTGAAATTGTTGATTAACTTGTTAGCTTCTCTTTATTTTTCGTTTCTTTTAAAATAGTTTAGATTTTCTATTTAAAAATGTGTGCTAAAACACAAACTTTCTCATAAGTTCATCATGTAAACCGGCATCTTCGGAACGAGCTAACCGAAGCTCATTAATTAATTCTGGTCCAATTACCGGAACTGCTTGCTGTTGTTGTTGTTGTTGTTGTGAATCGTGGAAACGTTTGACCGCTTCGATAAGTATCGTATCTTGTGTGATGTCCACTCCACTTTCGCTTGATAAATCCGACAGTAATGTATGTGTACCGCTCTAAATTCTTGAACAATTAAATCTTAAAATTTTTTTAATTCAATTTTAAATGTTTGACTTCTTATTTATGCAATAGAATTTACTTATCAGTTAAATAATTGAAATATATATTAGTTAAGCATATGCATATAGTAATTATATTCAATAGCACTTAAAGCTTTAATTTGAAATGCTTTTTTATCTCAATAAAAAAATTTACCTCAACATTTAATCCTCGGACAAGACCGCTTACATGTCGAATTACTTTGATGAATTCATTACGCTGATTTTCTAGGTCACGTTCCGTTTGTTCTCTATATTCCGAGCATTGTTTACGTACGCGTTGTAACTCCGACCATAATTCCATCATTTTACGCTGTTCATCGCTTAAATACCGTGTAAGATTCTGAAAAAAAAAAAAACATTTGTAATAACTATTACAAATGATTTATTTATAATAATAGTAAACTGTCAATAAAATGTTAATCATTATCATAATTAATAATAATAATAATAATGACACTGTTATAATTACTATTTTATTCATATATACTATCATAATTACCAATATAATAATAATTACTATTATAACTGTTACTGTATTCAAAAATAATAATGATAGTACTTGATAAACTATTCACTATAATATAAAATACTTACTCGTTCTCGAGTTTGATAAACTCTTTCCTTATCACGGATATTAATTTCAAATTGTTGGCGTAAACGCTGAATCTCGCCTTGTAATTGATCATTTTGAAAACGTTCCTGTTGTAATTGCAAAGCCAAGTCATCCGTTCTAAAATACAAAAACTATTTGTGATAGTTAGAAAGGAAAGGAAAAAAAAACTTTTGACTTCTCAATTTATAGACAATAATCAATTAATTACTTTTCACCAACTACCACTTTTATTTCTCTATTAATTGCAATTAAATCTCAAAGTCTTCTTTTCTCTTTCTCTCTGCTTTTTCTTTCTTTCTTTCTTTTTTTTTAAAGATTCATTTTAATTATAAACAAACCTCCTACGTTCATCCTCTAATTGACTTGCAAATTCAACATCACCAATATCTTGCATTTTAAATCTTGGACTAAGCAACCATTCCTCTTTTAATTTCATATCCGTGAAATCACCTGAATCATTCCAATCATGTACCGTTAATCTTCCTTCAATTTCCTCAAAACGTTGCCGATAACGTTCAATCTGAAATTTTTTTTACAATTTTAAAAAAAGAGCGAAAAAAAAAACTTTTTTCGGTTAAATCAAATAGTTTGTTAAAAAGTTTAAATTAATAATATTTTCGATATTCTCAAAAAAAGAGAAAAGATGAAAAAAATTTTTCCATGACCACTATAAATGTTATCATCAGTATCTTATCATGATTAATTACGTACTTTACGTTGCAATGCCGCCATTATATCAGCATGTTCACGTTGTTGTTCCGTGTTTGCATCGATACGTCTTTTGTAATTAATCAGTTCATCTCTGGGATACATTTTTGAAATTCGTCCACCTGTCACAGCATTCCCGAGACTAGCATCATCCATTGAGTCGATATATTCGATAGTATCATCAATATTACCACCACTTCCTGTTATTCTAAAATAATTCATCAAATTTCTATTACTGCAATATTATTCATGATAATTAATCATGATAAGAATAATAGCAATCATAAATAATGATAACAACAAACAGTAATAAATGATGACAACAATAGTAAATAATATTAATGATCGTAATAACAATAACAATAGTAATAACAATGAATAAATGAATTTGGATTGGATCAGATTAGGACTCATTAGCTTTAAAGATAAACTTAATCAAAAATGATATATATTAATATAAATTTTGATCTAGATAAAAATTTTTTTATATTTCAACTCTCATCAATGTTTCAATTAATGAAGAGAAAAAAATTGAAAAAAAATTCAATTAAAAAAAGAAGTAAACAAATAAACATATTTTTGTCCTTTTAAATATTTCTGTATTTTTTCCAATGTAAATTATTATTACTTTTCGCATGTCAATTCAACAATAACAAATAAAATGAACTTATGCTTCGGTAATTATTATCAATTTTCTTCATTCTGATTTTCTTTTTTTTACCTTTTGCAAAATAATAATTATCAAATTTATCTCTTCCATTTAAGAATTAATTCCAGTATTGCTACGATCAAAAAGCACTATACTTTATTTTTTTTTGCCGCAAAAAAAAAAAAAAAAAAAAATTAAATAAAAAATAAATAAAATTTTACAAAACTAATATGATAAAACATTAATATTTAAAAAGAATATTTACCAAATAATAATATTATTCTTTTTTTGTTTATATTACAAAAGTTATAATAAAAAAACAGTATAACAACATAACAATAACAAAGTAAGAACAACAACAGCAATAACGATAATAACAACAGCGCTATTACTACTACTATTGTTATAGTAATATTTAATCATCCAACTATTTATTTGTTTCTTGATACTACAATAATCAGAAAGCTTGGACAGCATACATTCAACAATTGAGAAATTTTACTTTGCTAAAAATTGTAAACACTCATTCTACTTTAGATAAACTTTTCTAGCAAATAAAATAATAAATTAACATGCACTGTACTTTTAATCTTTTATATCTTACATTTTGCATAATTTCAATTCATTTCATACTTTCACATCATATCACATTTGAAGTGTTAAATGGATCGGAAAATTAACATTTTTATAACAATTACTTGAATGAATATTCTAACACTGAAATATCCATTTCTATTATTTAATTTTTTTAAGGTTTTTTTTTTTTTTTTTTTTATTTTACTTTTTTAATCTAATAGAAAAAAGGAAGAAGAAACGAATAGAAATTCCTAAAATGGAAGTTTTTTTCTTTTTTTTGGAAAGAAAATAAAAAAGAGGAAATAAACGATAGAAAGAAAAATTTTGCAAAGAATTAAAAATACATATGGATAATATGCAAAAAAAAGAAAAGAAAAAAAGAGATTATATCATTTAATTTTTGCATCCGTTCATTTTAATTATTTATTTAATTCCGGTTTACTACAATTTTTCAAACTCATAAAAAAAGTTTGTTTGTTTGTTTGATAAATTGAAATTACTTATTCATACTTTATTTCTCCAGAAACTGTTTTTTCAGCGCTACGTTGTCCTTTTGACGGAGTATCTTCTTTTGCTTGTTCCATTCGTTTTGATTTTCTCTCTTTCTTTTAGCAGTTCAACTAAAAAAATAATTTTTTTACATTCAAATTAATTAAATTCAGATCGTTTTTACAAAATTCGAAAATTTTATTTAACAAAAAAAGAAAAAAAACAATTAAATGTAATAAAGATCGAAATATTAAAACGAATTATATAGTATGGTTAATAATAAAATAATTAATTAATAATGAATAATTAACAACAATACTAATAATAATGATAAACGAGATAAGATAGCAATAACAGTAATAATTATAATAATGAAAATTATGTAGTGATAATGATATTAGCAACAATAATTCTTTGCTTTATTTATTGTTTTTTTTTTTTTTTTTCTGCACTTAAAATGCATTTTACAGTAAGTGAATATTTCACTTTTCCAAAAACAAAACAAAAATACAGTTAAAATTTAAGTCGGAATAATTGCAGAAATGTTTTTGTTATAAATTTAAAAAATAAATTTTTTACAAATATGAAATCATTATAAGTTTGGAACGTAATTCTTTTTTACAACAAATAAATTTCGCAAAAATTTAATTTTAAATGTCAAAAAAAGAAACGAAAAAAAAGTGAAAAAATTTAACGAAAAGAATTCGATAATTATAATATATTAACCGGATGTAAGATAAAGTACTAATAACAAGAAAAAATTTGAAGGAAATGAACGAACCGTGCAGATGCGATTGCAAAATGAATGAATTAACTGGCAGTAATAAGGATAGTATTATCGAGAATAAATCAATATGCAAATTTCTTTTAAAAAAAACTGATATTATTACTGTAGGAAAGAAAAGAGAAATAGAGAGAAAAAGAGAAGAGAGAAAGAAAAAGATTTATTTGATAAAATCAAATGTCTTTCATACATATATATGCAAAATATTTTTATTTTGCCAAAATTTTGACGATATAATTAAATTTTTCTTTTCAATTAAATAAACAAATTAGAAAGAAAAAGGAATTTTGCAATTGTTAAAAATCTATGACTCATGTAATCAAAGTAATATTAATTACACTAATAATAATAATATTATTCTACTTTCAAAAATTTTAATTTACTAAAAATTATTACACTGTTCAATTTTGTGATTCATTTGATTGCAATAATATTGAATTCTATTTTTAAAATATTTTAATTTTTTTTATTTAAATTGTTAAAATTCATGATTCATTTTATCGGAATACTATCGCGTTCTATTTTTTTTTTTTTTGTAATTTTAAAACTAAAAAAAAATTAAAAAGTAATTTGGAAAGAGTTTGTTTAAATGCACAAATAATATAATATTTGCAAGAATAGTAATATATATTATCGCCTTACTTATGTAATATTATTATATGAAAGAAATGAGAAATGCATAATTAATTAAACTGGTAAATGAAAAATTGATAAATACTTTTTTAAAAAAATTAGTTTTTTAGAGAAAAAACATTTATAATATTACGCTTTCCTCGAAATGATACAAAATACTACTAATTAAAAGAATAATTAATTACGAGAAAGTAATTCATTTAATTCTGATATCAAAAATTGTATAATCTATGGACAGTTTATTAATCGATTAACTTCTGGCAACAATTTTTGATTATTTTTGCATTTCATCATTATTTTTATTCTCGTAAGTTATTTTTTCTTATAATTTAATATTTTATTCTTATGACTTATTATTTTAATTTATTGATTCTTATAAAAATACCTTAGCTATCTTGTATTTTTTCTTTCTTTTTTATTTTTGTTTATGTATTAAAAAAAAATAAAAGGAAAGAAAAATTAATCCATGATCTTTTTGTGCAATATCTAATTTCATCAAAATGTTTATTTACCTCTTTTTCATTTATTTCTGTTTAATCATTAAATCAAAAGTAGCTAAATTAAAAACTGAAATATGTAATAAACGGTAACATAAATTTGACAATTAAATTGGAAATTAAAAAAAAATGAAATTTACTTGCAAGCTAACTGATTTTAAAAATATAAACCGAATAGATGGTCACCGCACAAATTTCTATATTCATTTTGTATTCTGTTTAACAATTCCTTTCTCTCTTTTTTCTTTTTGATATATAAATTTCTGAAAATTTAAAATTGTTTTTCTAAGATTTTCAATTTAAAATCCTTAAAAATAAACAAAATATTTCATTTCCTTAATATATCAAAAAAAAAATGGAGAAAACTCAATTATAAAATAATAAAAAAACATAAAGTTATTATTATCAAACAATTCAAAAAATCTCAATAAAATGTAAATTTTCTTCCAATGTTTATTGAAATATTTGTAAACAAAAGTAATTCATTTTTTTAAGATTGGGAAAAAAGAACATTTCGAAGAGACGAGGAAAAGCAGACAGTGAAAAAAAAAAAAAAAAACAACAAGAATGAAATGAGATGAAAGAGGGGACAAGAAAGAAGAAAGAAAAACAAAATGAAACAAAAAAAAAAAAATGAAAAAATGAAAGGAATGAATGAATTTGTATTATTATTTTTAAAAAAAAAAAAATTTCATTTTGATATATATCAAATAACATAAAAATTTACGTTTCAAATATAAATTTTCATTAATATATCAAAAAAAAAAAAAAAAAGGAAAGAAAAAGAATAAAACTAAAAATGAAATTAATAATTGTTTAAAAAGTCGGAAAAAAATTAAAAACGAATCAAATGAACTGTAATTTTTAACAATAAAATGATATATAATTTTATTGAATAAATAATATTATTTTAATTTTCTTTCTGCTTTTTTTTTTTTTTTTTTTGAAGAAAACAATAATTCCAACACACATCGAATAAATAAATAAGTAAGCAAATGAATAAACAAGAATTGTAATAAACAACAACAGCAATAGCGACAAGACAGGAAATCTCATTTTTTTAAAAAAAAAAATTTTCTTACCTAAATTCTTTATTTATAAAACAATCACATATATAACTGATTAAAAAAAAAAAAGAAAGTAAAAAGGCTTTAATTTTTCTTCAATATTCAAAAATTTCTATCAATATTTTATGGTATGCAAAAATTTTTTCTCTTTCTTTTTTTTTTTTTTTTTTTGTTTTGTAATATTTTGTTGAAATAGAAATTTCGACCGGTATTTTGTTGACAAAAGTGCAATTTTAGTCGATATTTCATGAGAGAAAAAAAAATTTTTTATGTTATTTTGATGAGACATAAAAGTTATACTGATATATCAATCAGACTTTGATGATGACATTTTACCTTTCTTTCAGTTGTTTTATTTTCACCGTGACAGCTTTTCTCGTGCTTAAAAAAATTATCCTTTATTATCTAATTATTTGAAAAATATATGAAACTAAAAAAATACTATAATGCATAATTTAAAGATTTTTTCAAATGTTTCTTACTTTTCAAAGTTTACTAAAATACAAAATTTTCCTACTGCTTAAAGTACAGAATAAAGAAAAGTTTTCTTTTTCTTTAAAAAAAAAAAAAAAAAACAAAGAAAAGATTATAAAATTTTAAATAGCTTTACCGGAAGCTATAAATCATAACGATCACATAAATAATATTTTCTAATAATATCTCTTTCAAAAAAAGAATATAAGAAAAAAATTTATGTATTGGTTCTCAACATTTAAGTATTTCTTTTAAATCAATTATTATTTAAGATGTGAAGAAAACAAATGCAAAGAAGCTGAATTTTTTTTAAAAAAAATGAGATCAATTATTTGCTTAAAAGAAAAGTAAGAAAAAGAAGGAAATTAGTAAAAAAAAGGAATAGAAAAGTTCAAACAAAAGGAATTTATTTGATAATAAACTGAAGCTGTTAACTAGAAACTTGATTATTATTATTATTATTATTATTACTATTACTATTATTATTATTATTTATTATTATTTTTATTTTTATTATTATTATTACTATTATTACTGTTATTATTATTATACTTTAGAGAAAGAATATTGAAGTCCACTATGTTTTCTAAAAAATTGACTTAGCTTTAAAAATAAGTTGAAAAATTGCACTGAAATATAATCCATAGTAATTAATAATAACTAATACTTTCTATAAGTTAATTATATCATTATAATGATAATACTGAATTGGAAATTATTATCACTCAATTAATGGAATATTTTTGCTTTCCTTTTTCTAAGATAATAGAAAATATTTGCTCAAACAAATTACAGTTTATTTAAGAGGTAAAGAAGAAAAGGACAACAATAATTGATTTGCTTGTTCACTTATCATTGATCATTATAACTTATCATTTTATTATCATTACATACCATACAATGAGTTGAAAAAAATAAAAATAAAACTAATCAAATAAGATGAAAACATCTAATTAAATAATGTTTTTCATTCCATTTCTTTCTTTCCTTCATTTTTTTTCGCCCTGTCAATTTAAAGCTTTTACAGTGTCCTTTAATTTTTAATCAGTAATGATCAATCAAATCATTCATATATTTTTTTTAAATTAATATCATCTATTTCATATGATTGATATATATTCTTAAAATAATGCTTAATTGCATTTCTTTTTCTTACTAATAATGTTTTTTGTTTTTTTTTTTTTTTTTTTTTTTTTTTTACTAAGAAAAAAAACTTATGCATATTGAATTTTATTTTTCATGATTTTAAATTACTCATCAAATCAGAAAGAAAGAAATGATAAAATTTTAAACAAATAAAAATAAAAAAAAAGAAAAACAAGACGATAAACTGATTTCTAAAACAACCAAAAATAACAGTTAAGAATGGATTTAAATGCTATTTAAGCTAATTAATTGACATATAGCTAGTTATCAAAATGATTATTATGATTATTCGTCATCAATTATAATTTTGAATGTTTTAATTAACTGAAATTACTAAACCAATTATTCACAGCTAACAACATTCAAAAATGAAAAATAAAAAATAAAGATTGAAAATATAGCAAAGTATCATTTGTAAAAATTAAACATTTCGCTTCATATATTCCAAAATTATTTAAAAAATTTTTAACTTCAAAAGATGCGGAAATTATTCG